TATATTTTAAATATATATTTAAATATATTTTAAATATATATTTTAATTTTTTGATCTTTTAAATATATATATATATATATATTTATAGACATGTTCTGTTACACAGGTAACTGTGGAAGAGTTGTAGCTCGTCACATTCCCAAATGGCAGAATGAGTCATTTGCCCACCCGCTCCCCCAGTTGTGGGCAAATGTTAATCAGCTTGTCAAACTGATTCCGATGATGCAGGGGATTGACAGGGTTCATTTCATAGTAGATTTGTTATGGTCAACAGGTTGTCTATGACCGTGATATCCCAGGTGCCTCCTCTTTGAACAGCAGCAGTTGTGACCCAGCTGTCTTATAAACTGGCGATCTCACTCCCTTTCTTTCTCTTTTTCATGGACGTAGGAACATGGGCCGCATCTGTAGCTCAGGGGCAGAACGCTTATCCTTCACTGAAGGGGCCCCAGGTTCAAATCTTGGCATCTCCAATTAAAAAGGCGTTGTGTTGAAAAGGCAGAGAGAAAGACACATACACACACAGTGGGGGGGGGGCTCAGACTTTGGAAATCTGTAGCCGCCATGATCAGGGCTGAGCCAGATGGACAGCTGATCTGAGCCCACATACAGTAAGGCAGCCTCATACACTTAACCTTTGGCGGCTCCTCTTAAGTAAGTACTCTTTCCGTAGTTCTGATTATCCCGTAGCGCGGCAGTTCCCGAACGTTCTTGGACCGCAACTCCCAGAAATCCTGGCTAGCGCAGCTAGGGGTGAAGGCTTCTGGGAGTTGCAGTCCAAGAACATCTGGGGACCCAAGGACAGCTGTGGCCCTCCACCGTCCCTCGCCACTGGCTATGCCAGCTAAGGCTGCTGGGGGGTTGAGACCCCGAGCATTTCTTAAGTGTTTGTCTCAGCTGGCACTCAACGTGGGTCGAGCATTTCCTCTCCTCGTTTCCCTAAGGGTGCCGGTCTCCTGTCAAGCAAGACCTTTGTCTTTTTTTTTTCTTTTAAACCTGTGACTTTTCCTGGCTGCTTGTTTGTTTTTTAATCAAGAAAAGGAAGAAGAAAGTGACGTAAGCCGCCAGGGCTGCATCCCATTTCTCATCGCAATGACTCCATGGCACAGAGGTGGAGAACGTGTGGTCCTTCAGATGTTGTTGGCTGTGATTCCCACAATCCTTTACCCTTGGTTGTGATGATTAGGGCTGATGGGAGCTCCGGTCATTGGTTTGTGTTTGGGCGAGAAGTTGATCACTGCTTTACAAAAGGAGTCAGCTTCTGGGATTTTCCCTTGCGTGGTGTCGCTTTGTGAATGAGCAGAAGAGGGAATCCTGTAGACCAGCGGTCCCCATGAGCACAAGAGGGGATCCTGTAGACCAGCGGTCCCCCAACCCTTGGGCCGCCAGATGTTCTTGGACTTCAACTCCCAGGAACCCTGGCCAGAAGAGGTGGTGCTGAAGGCTTCTGGGAGTTGTAGTCCAAGAACATTGGGAGACCCCAGGTTGGTTTAGAACCTTCTCCTTGCTTCCAGATTAACTGTTTTTTTGGAGCATCTTCTTAATGGGGCTTAATTGAAAGGTGATCAGTTCCCCTTGCCTTCACATGGGGGGGTCTAACCAGAGAGGGTGCCCCCTTGTTTTGCATTCCATGTCAGTTACATGACGAGTGTTTGCAAGACTTGTTTTAAAATAGCCAACCTGCAGCAAAAAAACAAAACAAAAAAAACAACAACAAAAACGGGGGTTTCGTCTCCCGAATTTCACAAAGCGGCTGAAGTCTTTTAACCGCAACGATGTGGTTTTGTTCCTCTTCTATGCTGTACTTTTGTGATCCTTCTGCCATGCTCACCCCAGGCTTCTTTCAAGAAAAATTGCGTATTAAAAATCATCTTTAAAGCCGACCGAGAATCCATTCTTTACCGGTGGCGTGGAAGGCACAGGTGGCTTAAGATTTGCCTCGTTCTCCGAAACCGACAGAACCAGAGGCTGCAATTTGGGTGAAATTAAGGGAAATGGGAATTATTTTTCAGATTCCAATTTACTGGTCGTAATCAATCAGTTTTTTTCTTTTACCGCGACCGCCTCTAGCGTGTTTCTGGCTTGGTGATAGTACAAGCTGTTGATCAAACTCCATTTCCACCAACTTATTTGCTGGTAGAGCATGGCTTTGAATGGGCCCATTAAGAGCATTTAAAACAAAAACCCATGTCTTTTCCTTTATGTCTTTTAATAAATGAAAAAAAAACCAAACCAAAAAATCAAGCTAAACTAAGTCAGCCATCTGTTTCCAGCAGCGGACAGCCAGTGGCAACCAAGGGGATGATGGTGGCTATGGAGCCAAAAGTTGGGAGTTCGATTCCTGCCCCGGGCCTCCTTGGCAAGGGCTGGATTCAGTGATCCAGAGGGGGGTCCTTCCAGCTCTGCCGTCCTCAGATTCTTAAGATTATAAAATAGCTATTTTCTGATGTTTTGACCATTTTGCTTGACTCCTCCGTAGCTTAGAAAGGGCCAGCCCTTCGAAAGCGGTTCGGGCCACCCAACCGTTCGCCTCGTTTTAGCATTCTAGCCGCAGAAGTTTTTCAAGCCAGGGTTCAGCTTGGAAAGGCTTAAAATATATAAATAAACAAATAAGGCGAATACATCTGCCGTTAACATGTTGTTAACTCCCTCGGCAGACGTTAAATCATTTTCAAGTACAATAATAGTGTGGGAGGTAAATTAACTAACCATTAACAATTTTATAAATACACAATTAACGTGCCAGCGTTTATATGACACATTGATGGGGCAGCTGTAATTTTTGATTGCATGTTGGTGCCCCCACCACCACCAGCGTTCGTTTTCTTCATAGGTCTTTGAGGTGCTCCAGGCGATTGCTTTATCGAGGCAGTCCCTCATGTGCTAGTGCGCTGGGCAGCACCTACCTTTTATTCTAGCATGACGTATTAGGCGTGTATAAAATAAGTCATAGACATGCTGGCTGGGTAGCTCAGTGGTTAGGTGTCTGGTTAGGAGTTTGAGTCCCCCGCAGTGCTTCCTGGGGGAAAAGCCAGCCTGGGTGGCCTTGGGCCAATTGCGTCCAGCCTGGGTGGCCTTGGGCCAGCTGCGTAGAGTCCCAGGGCGCCCCCCAGAGGAAGGGAAGGGTCAACCCCTTCTGTGTGTTTTCTACCCAGAAAACCCTGAAAAGGGGCGCCCTATAGATTTTAAATTTAAAATATAAATTTAAGATATAAATTTTTCTTAAACTTGTTATGTTTTATGTTGTAATCCGCCTAGAGTGGTCTATAGGCGGGGTATAAATACAATAATTAAATAAATAAATAAAATAAATAAATTTTAACCTCTAAACACCTAAACGGCTTGAGTTCAAGTTGCCCCAGATACGTTGCTTCACCTTGGGTCCCTTTTAGGGGAGAAAAGGAAGGCAAGGTGGGAATATTTCAAATAAATCAATTAAATAAATTAGTAGCGAAGGGGCTTCTGCGTCTCGAGAGATCACGCAAGACAGCATCAACGGAAAAGGTCGCCGTGCGTGGGGCACCCAGCCAGACCTACCTGGTCCCTCTATGAGTCTCTCAGTGAAGCCATTTTTATTTTCTTGGCATTTGAATAACATGTCTTATAAACAGTGTTCGGAGGATGCTGCCATTTTAAAAGCCTGGAGCAGAAATGTTTTTCAGCATTTAATATTATTAATAGTTTTTAATATTCATATTTTAATATGAATATTAATGTATTGTGTTATTTTTCTGCCTATATATTTAGTGTGTTTGTGAGCCGCTTCGGGTCCCGAACTGGGAGAAAGGTGATGTGAATGAAAGATATATATATTTTTTGCTGTTTTAATTGCTATTGTCATTATGTGCTGTGCTCATTTAGGTTTGTTCCTTGTCACTGATCTGTGTTAAAATATTAATTGCGGTTATTGATGATTTTGTTGTTCGCATTGCAAACGGCCTAGGACGAAGAGCAGTATGTTAACAACGGAAATTAGGAACCAAAATAAAGTAGTTGACTATGTCGTCTTTTCTTGTTTTTCCTTAACTTTTTGCTAGTCTGCAGAAAAGGTAAAGGTAAAGGTTCCCCTTGACAATTTTTGTCCAGTCGTGTCCGACCCTAGGGGGCGGCGCTCATCCCGCTCTTCAAGCCATAGAGCCAGCGTTTGTCCGAAGACAATCTTTCCGTGGTCACATGGCCAGTGTGATTTAGACACGGAACGCTGTTTACCTTCCCAGCGAGATGGTACCTATTTATCTACTCGCATTTGCATGCTTTCGAACCGCTAGGTTGGCGGGAGCTGGGACAAGCAACGGGCGCTCACTCCGTCGCGTGGTTTCGATCTTACGACTGCTTGGTCTTCTGACCCTGCAGCACAGGCTTCTGTGGTTTAGCCCACAGCGCCACCACGTCCCCATAGTCTGCAGAAACGGGTGCTTAAAAACAGTAGCTTTTCACTGGCATTTGTGGCCAAGAAGGCTCGGCCGACTGACCTAAGAGTCTGATGTCGTATTAAGGCACCTTCTCTTCCTAAGTGCTTTTATGTTTTCTACAGAGTCGTGTTTCTCTGTTTCGCCAGGTCGACAAGTCCGTGGCCTGCCATGGATCGAAGGAGGAGATAGTAGCGGAAAGCAGCCGAATTTGGGGACGGGATGGCGTTCTTGGACAACCCCACCATCATCCTGGCTCACATTCGACAGTCCCACGTGACCAGCGATGACACCGGGATGTGCGAAATGGTCCTGATCGACCACGACGTGGACCTGGAGAAGATCCAGCCCGCCTCGGCCAACGGGGACAGCAGCTCGGAGCCCCCGGCGGGCAGCGGCGAGTCGCAGGGCTACGTGTACTCTCAGTCCGTTGACATTACCTCAAGCTGGGATTTTGGTATTAGGAGGCGGTCCAACACGGGTGAGTAAAGAGCAAGAGCACAACGGGGAAGGGGGGTCTTGAAGGTTTCAGCTAGGAACGGTGCAAGGGGGGGAGATAATGTTGTTTGGTTCATTGTTTGGTAAGAACAGACCAACCTGTGCAGCATTCTTCATCATCAGGATGGGGGGGAAATTTGACATTTGAATATAGGAGCAGGAAGTGGGTTTCGCCATTGGCCTACACCCCAAATCTCAATTGGTATCAACCCCATCAAAACATGAGAACCTGTTCTCAACCACTCGTAGAAGAGGTCACCGGCTTAATAACCTCTAGATATTTGGGGACATCACTCCTGAGAGTTACTGATCAAGGAAGACAGCCGGGGGGGGGGAGGTTGTAGTCCAAAACGTTGCATGACGTCAATTTGGGTGAAGACTGCTTTGGAATAGAGAGCTTGAATTCTAGCGCGTCAAGTCGAAGCCCAAGGAAAACTGATGCCCTGTGCAACCGATTTATTTTATTTTATTTTATTTATTTATTTTTGCAAAATCAACATAATGCGTTCCAAATGGTCGGCCGCAGGAAGGCCTCCCGGCTTCTTGCCTGACTCTCTCTGGTTCATGCGCGGAGGGAGCACGTTTTTTTCTCTTTGAACCCTTTCCTCCTTTCCCTGACGTCCAGATTAATTTACTTACCGGTGGGCCTTATTCAGACGCCCCCGGTTTCCTTATCTTTTAGGAGAAGGGGGGCAACCATCCTGAAATGTCCACGGTTTCAGTAAAGATCAGAATCAATGACGCAAAGGCGAGGGTGGGACTGGAGGATACATACATGTGTTTCTATTTTGCTTCTAAGGAGCAGAAAGATCTAAATTTATTTTCAGGGTTGGGGGGAGAACAGCATATGGCCGTCTCGAACGGAGGAATCTGCGTGGCTGAAATGAGCAACATAGGACAAGTTAAGACACACAGGAATAAGTCTTTTAGGGCTCAATGCTGTTCTGAAAGCTGAGAAGAGAAATACCCCTCGTCGTTTACAGTAATTAGGCAGAAAGACTAAAAATGGTTTGGCTGGGCATTGGTGCCTCCTGCAACACGGCAGCATGCCAGTTGTGTTTGGGAGGGTACCAGCTCCGTCACCTTGCGCGGAAGTTGCGGTAATAATGTTCAGTTTGTATATAAACCATAAGTGTTCCTACTATTATCAAGAATGTTACATTATTTCTCAAGCTACATGATTAAACCATTGTTCTCCCCGCACCGTGTTACCTGTAGCACGTTAATCCCATACTCTGGTTGGAAAGATGCTGACGATGCCGCTTCAAAGACTATAGGCTTTCACGCTGCATCTTCAGAAGCAGATCTTCTCGAACAATAAATTCTGAATACCTCTGTTGAACCAACAATTAAAATTAAGCTCCAGAATATTTGAGAGTGATTTCCTGGTGAGTCCTGCTCACCTCCCGTAACTTGCTTCTGAATCTCCTAAACGACATGCTTTTCTGGACTTAGTGCTTATGAAGTGAACTGGATGCTAAGGATAGCAAACCTTCTGCTTCCAGATGTGCGCCAGTGGCGCCCATAGTTTGATATCGAGAAAGAAGTACAAGATGCTTGTGAATGAGGAAGACACATTGGCTGCTTTTATCTTTGATGGCTATTATGCACCTACCTACTTATAGGAGATATTTGAAAATGAGATTGTGCACGCAGGCTAATGTGTTACAGCGCTAAGAGTGTTGGGCTGCGACTTGAGAGGACCAGATTCTTAATAAACCAGAAAACTGGCTAGTTAACTTTGAGGCCATCACCGTTTCTCAGAACATTTGGTTTGGGGTTCTAAAAACAGCCACATTATGCTCTCATGTGTCTCTATAGTTTGGTGAGAATAAGTGAAACCGGGAAAAACTCTTGTGTTAGTCTCTATTCATTTTCCTCCCCATATCTTCCTTAACTGATCGTGTCATTAATGACCTTAGAAGATGCCACAAACCAAATCTTAATCTGGTTTGCTCCAGCATAGTTTCTCTTAAAAGGAATGATTCATTTTCTAGTATTCATGTTTAGGATAATAGCGGGTTAGCGCTAATTCCTTTATCTCACTAAAGCAAAGAACGAGAACAGTACAAAGCTCATATTTTGACACCCTTTCTATGCCGCATGGGGACGTGGTGGCGCTGTGGGTTAAACCGCAGAAGCCTCTGGACTGCAAGGTCAGAAGACCCGCCGTTGTAAGATCAAATCCATGCGGCGAAGGGAGCTCCTGTCGCTTGTCCCAGCTCCTTCCAACCTAGCCTTTAGAAAGCATGTATATGCAAATAGATATATAGGTACCACCTCGGTGGGAAGGTAACAGCGTTCCGTGTCTAGTCGCGCTGGCCACGTGACCAAGGAAACGGTCTTCGGACAAAACGCTGGCTCTATGGCTTGGAAACGGGGATGAGCACCGCGCCCTCGAGTCGGACATGACTGGACTAAATGTCAAAGGGGAACCTTTACCTTTCTGTGTTGTTTTAGTTGCCTGTACCTTCTGAGGGGCACCTTTTTCAAAACCAGGTTACATTAAATTGGCAGGATTTTTCCCTCCTGAAATAAATCTGACATTTAGAACCTAGAATGAATTTCAGGCAGTAGCAAGACTAGCTTCCCTCGCGTTGATATTTCACCTATTTGAGCGTGTCCTGCTTTTTGGATGTGTAGTCAAAAATACGTAAAGGAAAAATGAGATTCATTTTTAAAGATTTGACTAATGTTGTGAAGATACAAATCATTTATTTTTACTACCTATAAACTGTTTCAGCACAGTGAAGAAAAAGCTATGCTAATTTATATAGCGTTGACATTTTATAATTTTCATGATTTTTTTTAGATAAAGGATTTTATATTTAAAACTTTAATAGTCTAGTCTGAGTTCATTTATCTTTAATTTTTGAAACGGGGAGAGTAATTCATAACAGCAATTTTATTCCTGTAATGTAATATTCACTTCAGTTCATTTGTGCATTAAAATTCCTTTAAGACCGTTATTAATGATTTATATAATGAAATGTCATATTAATCACAGAAGTTTTCACATTTTATTATTCTCTTCCATGTTAATACTATCTTTATGATCTCTATTAATGTTTTATATCCTCTAATTTCAATTATAAATCAAGAACATTTTCATGTTTTTGTTGGTATTTGCTTTTCAGGGGTGCCACCTTTAAAATTTTATGACTTTTCCCCCCACCCTACATGTGTAACATAAAACATCTTTATTCATAGAAAGGTAGTTAATTATGTCTTTTGTTTATAGCAAACTTTCATTGACAAACTTATCGTTGCAATATTTCTTCTGCTTTTTCCCAAGCTCAGAGACTCGAACGGCTACGGAAAGAGAGGCAAAATCAGATAAAATGTAAGAATGTGCAGTGGAAAGAGAGAAATACATCCTGTTCAGGTAAAAAAAAAATAATTGTTATGTTTTTATATATATCATTAATGATTTCAGTGGTGCCTCGCTTGAGGACGATAATCCGTTCCAGCAAAATGGCTGTAGAGTGAAATTGTCGTCAAGCGAAATAAAAAAGCCCATTGGAATGCATTGAAAACCGATCAATGCGTTCCAATGGGGGAAATAACTGCTCATCCAGCGAAGATCATAGGCTGGCCATTTTCCAGTGCCTGTCTTGCGAAATGAGATCCGGGAAACAGCGGGCGGCCATTTTGAGAGCCGCCGATCAGCTGTTTCTAAATCGTCGTGTAGCGAAAATTCGATTCCCGAAGCAGGGGACCAATCATCGTATAGCAAAAAAAGCCCATAGACACATCATTTTGCGATCGCTATAGCGATCGCAAAAAACACATCGTACAGCGAAAAAACCGTCGTGCGGGGTAAGCGTCTAGCGAGGCACCACTGTATTGGGTTTCCACTTGGAACTGTTTGGTTTGCGAGATCCATTTGTAAAATTTCTCGAGGGTGGGTGGAAGAGCAGACGCTGAGGTTTCTCAGATCAGAGAAGATGGGCAGCAATTAGCAAATCATCTAAGTAGGCATTTGGTCTCTGGAGCAGCCATTTTCTGTTGATATCTCCCAGGGAAAATATGGGGGAATTCCACAAAGGTGAGGAGCAGGTCTTAAAAGGCTGCCCTGTGTCTGAACTGGGCACCTACCTTAAAATGTATCTTCAAATCCAGAGAGGGCAGGTTGAAGGGGGAATAGTCTGCTCCCCACTGGACAATTCAGTTGAACCGGACGATGTTTGTGTTTCTTTTGCTGGATCAGGCCAAAAGGGCACTTCCTACAGCATTCGGTTCTCTGTAGCGCCCAAGGACACGCCCCTCAGATGCCCTGCAAGATGGGTACAAAACCTGGAGCCCTCTCTTGCTAGCAGCATTTAACAAGTGGGGGGTCAACTTTTAATCAACAGGTCCCCATGTTGTATATTTTTGGGGGGCATTAACTTACCATTTTTTAGGATCCCTTCTTTTGCAGTGATGTTCTCGTTTTGATCGCTGGCTTTTGGTTTGCATTATCCCCAAAACATGTGCTGCTTTTTAAAACCGTGTAGTGATTTTATATTATTTATTTATAAGCTGCCTTCTGCTTTCATGCTTAACTACGGCAAGGTGCGGCACGCTTGTCAGAAAAACCAGCCGGTAACTGTTAAAGGCTGGCAAGCTGTGGCCTCCGGCTTATGATCAATGTTTGGTTTCGAATTCCCGAAAGGGGTGGGGGGGCCCTAGATTCACATTTAAGGTATGCGCCGTGCATTGTCTCGTTGTATCTGGAGAATGGGAATTTTTAGAGTGGCCTCACTCAAAAAAAAAAATCAGCAGGGAAAAGTAGAAGCTTGTGACTGTTGTCACAATCACAGGAAAATGTAGGGGATTGTGTGCATTTCTGAGGGAGGCTTTATTTATGTTTGAGAAGGAGGAAATATTTAACCAAAGCCTAAATTTTTCCAAAAACCATTTAGAAATGGTTTCGGACGATGGTTTTATCTCATGCATGCTTCTATGAAATCATCACTCGGGCCAAAATTGTGTGAGGTTTAGGATGTCGGACTGCGATCCAGGAGACCTGGGTTCATCGCCCTCCTTCCTTGTTGAAATTCTCTTGGGGCAGGGAGGGCAACATGACACATACCCGGAAATGCCAAATAGGGTTGTTGTATGTTGGAAGTGACTTGATGGTCGTTATCAACCAAAACAGGCCGTTCTTGGTCAGGGTATTATAACTCCACCAAAACAGATGCCGTTGTCATTGACCAACTCCAGAGATAGGACCCCACTTCCGTGCCAGCAGAGCAGACGCTCCAGCCGAATCCCTCTCCAGCATTTTTTCCCGAAGAAAGAAAAAACTAAAATTTGAAACACTTGGGTTTTTTGCTCTCAAGCTGACGCAATGCCAGCTCGGAACGCCAGGGGCCTCTCCATTCTCCGGGAAGACCCAAGGAACAATACAGTGGTGCCTCGCTAGACAGTTACCCCGCATGACAGTTTTTTCGCTAGACATTGACTTTTTGCAATCGCTATAGCGATTCGCAAAACAGTGATTCCTATGGGGGAATTTCGCTGGACAATGTTTGGTCCCTGCTTCCCAAACCGATTTTCGCGAGATGACGGTTTTGACAGCTTCCTCCGCGCTCGCAAAACAGGCGTTCTCGGGACCTAAGCTTCTCAAGACAGCGATTTAAACAGCTGATCGGCGGTTCGCAAAGCGGCTTTCCTATGGCTGATCTTCGCTAGAGAACTATTCTTCCCCATTGGAACGCATTAAACAGGGTTCAATGCATGCCAATGGGGAAATGCTTTTCGCTAGATAATGATTTCGCTAAACAGCGATTTCAGTGGAAAGGATTACCATCGTCTAGCGAGGCTCCACTGTAACTCCTTGCCATGCCTCAGGATCATATTTACCTATGAGCTATTTTTGAGGGGTGAGCAAAGGGTTTTGTCTTCCAGAAAAGTAAAAATAGCCGGCACAGCGCTGGCGATATACGTGGAATTCATAATGCATTGCTGCTGCCGTTGCCGAGAGAAAATGTAATGATTCTCGTCAAAGTTTATCCGTATCCCGCGCCTTCTGGCGGGGTATCTGTTTTTAAATTCTCTTCCCTCTTTTCCCACACCCGCGCGCCCTCTGTCTCAGTCCTCCCAGCAAAAACTGCCCCCGGGTTCCCGAATCCGGCGCAAGTGGCGACTTGGTCGCAGCTTAACAAGTTTTTAATTTGGCCGTTGAGCAAGCAAAAGCAGCTCTTTGCCAAGCTGTGCCCCCCCTCCGTGGATGCCGCCCGCCCCAACAGCGCCATCCGCTTTGGAAGTCCCCACTCAATCTGTCTCAGCCGCGGCGCCAGTCCTCCGGAGAGGAAGCGTGTAAATCTTGGGGACGTGCGGCAATCTGAGCCCGCTGCGTCAGAGAGCAAAGACAGAGCCTGGATGTGGATCTGCCAATGGTGATTGATTTGGTTTGGGGGCCGCCCGATCCCGGAGCAGATGCGGTGCGGAAACCCACCTAGGTTCAGGAGCTGCTCCGTACTAATGGACGGCAACTCGTTAGGTCCTGAGCTATATTCATCCATCCTCATTTTGGGTGATAGCTGTGTCGTGCAAGCCCGTGGGTTCGTTTCTTTTTTGTTTTAATTTTTGTTTAATTAGTTAAAACAATCCTCTTCTCCTCTCGTATCGTTGCTTCCTCTCCGCTCTTGTTGCATACATAATAATTTGATACACCACTCCCTGGGGTTGGCAGTTCTTCGACGGCGTTTAAGCCTCCCTTTCCGTTGGTCTGTTGGGTTTTTATTTTATATCCTACCTTTCTTCCGAAAGTAGAACTTGACACTTCATCTTGACATGATCACAAACTGCCTCAGGCAAAAAGAAAGAAAGAAACAACTCCAAATATTCTAATGTGAAAACCCGATTAAACGAATCATTTTGGATACGTGGTTGAATTCCTTTGGATGGTGCCTTGCTATATTGCTGTTTTATTTTTCAGTGTATTTTCAGCCTTCTCCTGTTTCACTTTGTTTTTGTAATCATTAGTGTTCCAAGCAACGGTTCAGTTAATGGTCGTTGTGGGTTTTTCAGGCTGTTTCGAAGGCTTTCACGGCCGGGATCCGATGGTTGTTGTGGGTTTTTCGGGCTGTTTGGCCGTGTTCTGGAGGTTTTTCTTCCTAACATTTCGCCAGTCTCTGTGGCTGGCATCTGTGAGACCGGCGAAACGTTAGGAAGAAAAACCTCCAGAACACGGCCAAACAGCCCGAAAAACCCACAACAATCATTGGATCCCAGCTGTGAAAGCCTTCAAGAACACAATTCAGTTAATGTGTGGGATTTTGTTTGTTTTAAATTGCCATTGAATTAAAAGCAGTTGGAAAGTACACTGGTTTTGTGCTATGCCGTTCAACAAAGCTGCAGTTAGGGGCACCAGACAGTTCAAAATTCATGTATAGCTCTTATGTCCCCTAAAATGTTACTATTAAACTTAAACAATTGATTAAACCACAGATGATGATGTTGCTTCTATTACCTTTTATTGGTGATCTGTTTCCCATTAGTTTCCTGGACAATAAAGTTTCTGTAACTTGTCTCCTCCTTTTCTGAACTGCAGTGGAGGAGCTGAGCATGCTGTTTGAGAAGAAGAACTTCAGAATAAAACCCACGCACACCTCTAAGCCCTCCATCCTGTCGGTTCGGCTGGAGCAATGCCCCCTGCAGCTGAACAACCCGTTCAACGAATATTCGAAATTTGACGGCAAGGTAAGGGAGAGATCAGCGCTATCCCTTGTGGTTGTCATTTCTCTAAAGACGGGGAAGTAGATGAAAATGAAGCGTGAAGTTCTAATCTAGCGCAATTCAGATGAGAAAAATGCTGACCCTCTGGGTGGATCGGCCTGTTCGCAAACGTTCTCATTCATCTGGGGGGTCTCGACTCAACGAGGAACCTTGATCAGGAATTTTCAGAGGCTGTTGCCTTATTTGTCTTCTGGTAAGAACTGCACCCGAAATGCTGGTTTTAATTTGGTTTGGTTTTTCATTGAGGTCTCCGTCATTTTCACGAACTGCGTCTGCACCAGTTTATGTCTGCAAGCGCCATAGGGATTCGAACTCCCAACCCCTGGCTCCACAGCTAATAGACAATGGGCTGACCCCTGCTTATATCTTCCCAGACTCCAGTGTGATAATCCGATAATATTTTTGCTTTCAAAGGCAGTAGTTCTTAGTCTTTCATATCTTAAGATCCCACCAATCGCTCTCTCGTCAAGAGGCCTGGATCTCACTATCGTAGAAACAATACAGCCACTTTCCCCAAGAACGGCATTTATACGTCTACCAATGTTTTGTATTTTAGTGATCATTAAAGGTTTTTAAGGGTGTAAAATTTTCAGCCACGTATTGCTGAGAATAAACACAGCTACTGCTGGTGGCCGAAACTCTGTCCTGCGTCTGCACCAGTTTATGTCTGCAAGCCCCATAGGGATTCAAACTCCCAACCTCTAAAGGAGAATAAACACAGCTACTGCTGGTGGTCGAAACTCTGTTCTGACTGTAAAATTTTCAGCCACGTATTGCTGAGAATAAACACAGCTACTGCTGGTGGCCGAAACTCTGTCCTGACTTCACTTGCATAGCATTGCCCTTTTTCAATTTTTTTTGTTTTGATTGATTGATTGATTGATTGATTGATTGATTGATTGATTTGCCAACCACCCAGTTTGGTAGTTTCACACAACTCTGGCTAGCGTACAAACGAGCCAGACTCTACCACCACCACCACCACCACCCCAATTTCATTCCCATAGTAACGTAATCCAGAGGGCGCAGTAACCGACTCAAGAGTATGGCAATCTGCAGAAAACCTAAAGTTTAATCAATTAATACAAAATTCACATTGTGATTTCAGTTGGTGATTTATTGAACAAGCCCCTTTGATCATGCTCATGGCAACGTCTCTCTACGTATCTGTATCTGTATCGAGAGAGAGAGAGACAGTACTACATTGTATTCGTGTCACACCCACAGCAAAGTTCACATTTGTAATGACTCTGTTGCCCATGTGCCACAGATCTGTAGGTGTTTTTTTTTTAATTTTGTTTTGTTTATTTTAAAGATAAGATAGCTGCCTTTTTCCTTTCTTCTGTAGTGGTTTCTTTTCAAAACTAGGACTTTTGCCTATTCCTGTCTTTTTTTCCATGCGGAGAGATGTGTTTTTCTGCAAATGTTCGCAGTTCTTTTCCTGGGACTCGGATGTGCCTTATTTGCATAATTAACTGAGCCACTCAGCTCCCCTGGGAAAGTGGTGTCTAATTGGGGAGAGTCTGTTAAGGGGGCGACTTTGGGGCCTAATTAAGGACGCTTTTAAAAAACCCCTACTTAATTATGTATTTACTCTAGAGGCCGGGCGGGAGGGGGTGACTCTTGAAATCCTCTTTCTAGATTTAGAAACCAAAGCTTTGATTGTCTTTTCTTCCTGCTCTTAAAATTGAATCCCAGAAAGTTGAATTTCCTCTCCCCCCCCCTTTCTGCTTGCTAGACAATGGGGGAATTGCAATAGAGGGAAACACCAGGAGATTTTTCTCCCTTGTGTCGTGAGCAGTGTTCTCCGACGTTGTTAACAAGCTCGGTTCTTAAATGAATTTGAGTTGAAAGAGCATTGATTTGGGGCAGGATGATTTCTGTGGGTATGGAGGTGCACATATTTTCACATGACACAGCCATGAACACTACCTATTTGTGGCCTTTACACAAGTTGCATTACTACAGGGCTGAGTCAGATTGACTCTCCAGATGTCGGTAAATGATGTTTCCCCTCTGCCTTACCCCGGATGGAAGCACATGTGATCCAGGAAGGGTGCAAGCTTTCAGTACATGGAACCAGGGTTTTCCTTGGGAGTTTTCTGTTTGTAAAGCCCACCTTCATTTTTGATAAATTTCATCACCTCTTGAGACTTTTCAGCAATAGCAAAGCCATTTATTCCAAACCATTCTACTGCAAATGTTAATTTATTATCTTTTGTGTATACGGTAATCCATAGCTGGCTGAATAGTTCAGCGGTTTAAGGATCTGACTGCAGACCCAGAGGTTGGGAGTTCGATTCCCCACTAGGGCTCCTCCATGTAGAGCCAGCCTGGGTGACCTTGGGCCAACTGCGCAGTCCCAGAAGAAGGACTACATCTCAACCTGAAAAACCCTGGAAAGTTATCCCCATAAGTCAGAGCTGGCTATATAGTTAAGTGGTTTAGGTGTCTTCCTTCAGAGCCAGAGGTTGGCAGTTCGAATCCCCACTGTGTCTCCTGGGAGTACAGCCAGCCTGGGTAGCCTTGGGCAAGCTGTACAGTCCCAAGGTTGCCCCCTAGAGGAAGAGAATGGGAAACCCCTTCTGAGTATTCTCTGTCTAGAAAAACCCTGAAAAGGATCGCCAAAAGTCAAGATTGATTTGACGGGACATGGTTGTTATATATTAATACCTTCTAACTTCCTGTTTTGTTGCAAAGATAGTAGTGAGAGGTATACCAGCACTATAATTTCCAAGTTTTAACAATGTGTGGATTTATTTTCGTTTATGTTTACTTGCTGCAATCATTTATGTCCTTACATTTTACCTTAAATATAACAACAGAACAACCCTAACCAATATTTTTTTTTTTTAAAAAAAAGAATGCTTATTTATCTACCAGTGAGGTTTGGATCCTTTCAGATAATGATCACGGGCACCTAAAATATGAAAGGTTGCCAGTCAAGAAAGCTGATGGGGAGACACGATGGGAGTTGTAGTCCCATGCAACCTGGAGGATCAGACTTACTAACCGTTGTGTTCTTGGAATCTAACCGTTACACAGTTGTGCGTTGGAACGTAACATGGCGTAACCTCTCCACCCCGTTGCTTAAGTCAGGATTGATTTGACTGCACAAAACTGTTATTATTAATTTATCCACACAACAACCTTGTGGGGTAGGACAGTCTTCTACATTGCAAGTGGCCCACAGGAACCAGTGAGTGCAAGTGCTGAATTGTTGTCTAACTACGACACCACACCGGCTCTTGGAGAAAAAAAAAGTAACGGTCTTTAGTTGGGGGATTGCCATAGCCTTTTGGAGTATTTAGATTGCTATTAGTTTCGTCTGAGAACATCTGGGAGCCAAAGTTGGGAGCCACTGTTCATTGAATACAACTCGCAGTATTTGTGATCGTTGTCCATGTAGACTGGGACTGATGGGAGCTAAACCCCGAAACATCAAGAGGGCACGAGATTTTGAAAATCGGGCATAAAACCTTATGCCGTGGCCCAACGTTGGTCCGTCCATCCCAGCACAGTGTCTTCTCGCCGTTAGCAGCTCCAGACCCTAATTAGTAGAGATGCTTTGCCACTCCCCCAGCTAAAACCTTTTAACCGGAGATACCCTACCCTCCTGCCTCGTGGCGCAGAGGTTGAACCGCAGCGCTGCATCCAAAACTCTGCTCACGGCCAGGATTCGATCCCGGATAGCCAGCTCGAGGTTCGCTCAGCCTTCCAGCCTTCTGAGGTCAGTAAACGGAGCGCCCATCTTGCAGTGGGCAGTATGTAGCCTGCATGATTAAATGGTCAACGGCCCAGAGCGTGTGCTTTAAACCCTATCAGGCAGTATATAAGCAGCACGTTTTTACCCCCGATTGAACCTTTAGCGAATGACCTCTTCAGTTCTTTTCCCACCTTTATCGGACTAGACAGTGACTTGAGACAATCATCTTCACCTTGAGAGTTAGCACAGAGTCTTCAGGGCTTACCTTCCTTTTTGGAAGCTGCTGATCATGTGTGTGTTTTCCTTTATCCGCAGATATCAGCAGCGGCCACACTTACCTTCCTTTTTGGAAGCTGCTGATCACGTGTGTATTTTTTCCATTATCCGCAGATGTCAGCAATGGCCACGTCACAGACTTAAACAAGTAATATCTTAATTGTAGTATTGTTACTTTCCGGTTGCATGCTGCTTTAGAGCAACCGATAAGCATAGTGGATCAATGTCAATGTAAAATTAACCCACAGAGATTTAACAAGCGATTTCAACTCCTTTTTTGGGGTTGATTCTAACAACGTTATTGTGATGGAGGGGTAGTTTTTTTTTGGATGCACTGTCCATGTTTAAAAAAAAAAACAATTTCTTTGTTACTGTTTTTAACAAGGAGGCTGTTGGGGGGGGGATAATTCATGAGTCCTAATTGCTTGGCTGTTAATTTTCATAAGTGTTGATAGAAGCAGTTCCTTAAATTAAACTTTGTTTAAAACGTATCAGGGGAAATATTCCACAATGTCGGGCCTGAAGTGAAAATTAATATGAATGCTGTGGCAATTAACACGTACTGGTTAATAGCTTTTAGCGGCATTTTGGGAAGATGGGCATTAAATACATTTTTTGCATGCTGCTCTTGCGTTCCAGTTGCGTTCCAGTTATACGTCTGGATAATTATGAACAAATGTTTTTTTTTCCACAATCATGGATATTTAAATGGCTTTCCTTTTTTAAAAAAAGAAAAAAAATCCATACCAGACAAAGGAACGAGAAAAAGGAAACACACTATAGTGTAACTGATTTAAAAATATGTCTGAGATGTTAATTAGAAATTTAAAAACCCAGCATGCAAAAATTACAAGCTTTAATTTTAATTTCACATAATGAAGCATTTCTACCCTAACTAGGTGTACAGGAATGCGGCATATGCACTAATATATATATAAAAAAGCCCTTTTTATATTACAAAAGTATTATCGTTTTTCCATGA